CCCCCCGCCCCGCCGCCTCCAATTTACCAATCACTATTTAAACACTGTCACACGTTTCCACAACACTGCGAATAAGACTGTTGGAAGAGTTTATCAGAGGGCATTTAAGGCCGCTTTGCGGGTGGGGGGGGTCGCTGCCGCCGATTCACACCTCCCGTATGAAGTGTGCTCACTACCCCGACCTGTCCGCGGTGCTCCAGCGCAGCAGACCCCGCGGCAGGATCCCACTCCGCCTCCGCCATGCAGATTCTTCGGGATCGGCAGGAAAGGGGTTAAACGACGGAGCCTCGGCGCCTGGAACACGGCGGACTGTTCCATTACCTCGAGAGGGGAGAGCCACTTACACATTGCTAATTATTCGCTGTCAGATAATGTTAAGACTCGAAAAGTAAAGCTATAAGCAGTGGTTATAAAGCATGACAAGCAGGTCTGTGAGATAAAACAGGAGAACCTGAGGTAAAATCTTGAGGGCACCTCCGTCTTTTCTCCTGCGTGGGCAAGTTGCGCTCAGCCCGGTCTGAGGGAGGAGGCGAGGCGGCACCCCGGTAGCGTGTTTGGGGCTCGCAGGGCGCTTTAGGAGTTTTAGATACACTTTAATTTCTCCTTTCAGCATCGCTAGCGCTTTCCTCTTCCCTGGCTGCTTGTAACAGGCCTTGTTTGCCTAACCGGGACTGGGAGGAGAGGAGGAAGGGCGGGCAGGGGAGCGGTGACGGCAGGAGGGTTCTGAGGTGACAAAGGCGCGGGAAGCGGCCGGAGCAGCCCGGGTGCTGCTCGGTCAGGGGGTCAGTGGCTTTCTTTAGCTCAAATAATTATAGCATCGGTCGTGCCGAGCCCAGTGGAAGAGATGTGACAAACAGGTTTGGGAGTCCTGAGCATAAACGAGAGTAACTCGGCCGGATTTCACGGGCGGTGCTGGAGAGCCGGGGCTGAGATCCGCCCCAGGCGGTTCGGGGACAGGCGGAAGGCGTCCTCAGACATCTGCTCACACCAGCGTTTGGGAGTGTCTTAGAGAGACATTACTCTTAGAGACGTGTGTTCTTTAGAATGATTGACTTAATATGTCAGTATTGAGGGGAAAAAAAAAAAAAAGTGGTTTGTTTTGGGGTTTTTTTGTTTTTTGTTTTTACTATTATTGGAACCCCTTAAGAAAGTTAGGAACTGGGTTCTTAGATCTGTGCCTTGACAGGAAGAAACAGGGTGCTTCAAGTCTTATGAAGGAGCTGGTTTAAAAACAGCTATTAGTGATAGAGAGCCTTCCATCATACTAAAAATATTTCTGTGGAATCATAAGCATGGGCAGTGCTTCCCAGGCAACTATAAAATGTCAAGCCCACTTCCTTTGAGAAACTCTGAAACTTAAAAGCAGATCAAAACCACACAGTATTAACAAATTTAGAGCTTACAATGAGGGAATAGAAGGGGCATTGTCTTCGAGAAGCAAAATTAATTTTTTCTTTACATATTTTATTCTGTATTATTTATAAGAAGATTTCTTGTCTGCCTAATTATTCTTCAGTACCAGCTGAGCGGTATTGTTTCAGTAATACTGTGGTAACATTGTATAGATGGAGAATCCACATATCTCAGAGAAATGTAGGAGAGACTGAACTACATAACCTGGGTCCCTCTGGGGTGCAACAGTGAAACAGCACCGGCAAGCGTGCTTTAATCATTATTCCTGCACTGGCTTTTTTCGTGGCTAAATAAGGATCTCAGTGCACTAGACTAGCAATCCAGAATCATTCCTGAGTTCTACATTATGAAAAATAGCGTTTAATTTACAAAGTAGCAGTATGTTTTTGCAATCAAAGGGAAGTGTATATGCTGGAGAAAACCTATTGGACTAAAAGTACTGTAAATTTTTGCTTGGCACATAGAGAGTTCTAAGAGGTTATCCTTAAAATTTCTGCCTCCCCTCCAAAATTCCTAGGGGCAATAATTAAATATTATTCTACAGCTACCTAAACATGTAGTTGTATTCCTATAGCCAGGTTATTACAGCTCTATAACTTCCCGGAAATTACATGTGAAATTTTCTATTTCAGGCATTTTGACAGCAGTAAATAGCATTTTGAATGAAATTTTTGGGAACTGGACAGATTATATCTATTACATGTGAAGAACACCAGCCATAAAGAAGTCTCATATAGACATCTCTGAACTGCTTTTAGAAGAGGGTAAAGCTGGTAGAGGCCTGGTAAGAAAATCTTCATTTAAATATACACAATTTTATTGTTGGGAGGGAAGATTATTCAAGGAGTGAGAAGGAGGAAGAAGGTATAACTGCTAAAGTTAAGTTTGGTAGCTCTTGAATGTTCAGCTTTTACATGGTTTTATACTAACTTCATAACACCATGAAGGTCGCAGGAATGTGTGCGATATGTAACACAATGTCCATCATAATGAAACAAAGCCTCACAGCCAGGCCATCAGACATGTATGAGACACTCCTTCCCCCATAGACCATGTTATATATTTGAGTTAATCTTCAACAGTAAAGGAATACCAAGGATTTTTCTCACTTTTCAAGTTCTAGATGGTATTTATGAGAAGATATAAAAAACAGGGGGGTGATAAGGATATCATGACTACCTGTAAGATAAAATATACTTCCCAATAAAATTCAGATGGACTATGAAAAAACTCGTTTACCTTTATAAATCTAGTTTTTAAAACCAAAAGAAATTCCCTAAATGTCTTTCTATCACTAATTTTTAGATGACCAATTTTTCATGAAATTTAATTCTTAAGGAAAGCTGAGACATGGGTAACATCTCTACTTGGCATGCCCCTAGGCTGGACAGTTAACTTCAGTATTTCTGAAGTTTATGAGGCAACATCCACGTTTAGCAGTATGCAAAGTTGTTTGTAGACAATAATAAACACAGCAGAACATTTACATTTTAAATTTTAAAAAATGCAGTCACTAGTCTAAATTAAACTTGGTGTGAAAAAAATTTAGAAAAGGAAAGATCATATTTTTAGTTCTGCACATATATAACAATTTTTGTGACAGTTTATCATGTAAGTACTTTTTGTGCTTTTCTATAATTTAAACAGAAATTTGTAGCATGGCTTTTGCAAATAATCTCTTTGCCAGCAGATTATCCCTTATTTGACTGAATTTTTTATCCAAACATTATTCAATCAGAAATTGCTTTTCTACACTATTAAAATGGCATATCCACCAAAGTCAGTTTTTCATTCACTCATTCTTTGGGCATTTTGCTATTCTGTAAACATGATTTATAAGAAAAAAAAAATAAACCCAGTAAGATAATTTGTTATACAGACATCTTCTTTTTAAGTTAGTGATTCTTTAAGTGAAGCAGATAGAGGTTCACATCATGGATTATTTTGCCAATGAAGAAAAATCAAAATAGGAAAATAAAATAAGGACTTTTATATGCTGCCTCTAACCTTTGGGAGCAAGTAAGAAGGAAACAATCCAAAACGTTAGGGAAAACACAGCCTAGTGGCAGAGAAAAGATAAACATTGCCCAAGGAAATGCAGGAGGAAAAAAGCACTTTAACTAGAGGAGAGTAATCACTAGTGTAGCCTAGAATAAACAAAAGACTTTTAATCTTAAGTCTGGAAAAGAGGGGAAACAGCAATAGAATATATGAAAGTAATGAATAAGTTTAGGAAAAAGTCTAGTGAATGAAAGTATATAAAGTATTTTGTGGTGAGTATGCACATATTTTCCTGGCAGGGAAATGCATATTTTGAAAGCTGCCAGGTTATTGTAATTTATGGATCTATTTAGAAAGCAATTGACTTGAAAATTGGCAGTGTATTCTTAGTTAATTTGACTTGGTTAGTGCAGTGTCTCTGGTCAGAAAAAATAGATGGCATTAGATGTTTTGATGCACTCTATTTATAAAGATTGTGTGTACATTCTTTTCCTCTGAAACCATGTGAATGTTTCACTCAAAGTCTCAGCTCCTTTTTGGTTGATAGTCATCTTGAATCTCTCTTGCTCTGCTTTTCTTACAGCTACATTTCCAGCGATTGCTCAGGCCTGTATATGGGTATCTGTGTCTTCTCTGCATCAATTTCTATGGCATTTTATATCTCTTTTTCTCACACATGCCTATCCCCAAATATCCAACAAAACATGTGCCAAACACATGTGTCTTTGTTTTTGGTGGGGACATGCACCCATGTTCTTGTGGAAACTGGTTCTTTTTTTCAGAAAGTTAAACTACTTCTAACAGTGATTTTGAAGAGCACTGCCTATGAGAATTAGCTGTAATTGTTTTATCTAACAGCGATTTTATGGATAACAGACCATGTTAATAAATTGAACCCAGCATGGAAAACAATACTAGCAGTAGCACAGGTGTACAGATCACAGCCTCCTCAGGAGAGTCACTGTATCATTTTTCATATGAGTACGTGCACTGGAATGCAATCAACAGTAGAGAAAGTTGGCAAACCTACAAAATGTACAATAATAATTCAAAACTACAAATTAACAATGCTGTGTACGCTAGTGGTCTTTCATTATCATTACAATTTTAAAATTACTTCCACTTACCTATAAGTTTTAAGGAAACTGATTATGCTTAGTGTGTTATTTCTCCAAACGTATACCTTTGAGACAAAAATTTTCTGTGGTGAATTCATCTTTTAATAGATGAATTATGTTTAAGAAACCTGAGGAAGTTGAACAGTATTTTAAAATAGTGGGAGGATAAATACAGAAATGTAAACATCAAAAACAGGAAATTAAATACATCATGATCCAGAAAAGGACATTTTTCATAAATAGATCATTTTGATGTGATTTTTAA